TTGTAAATATTTTAAATTGAAAATCGAATGAGTTTGTTGTATTCATGTAGGGTCAATGAGTGTAGTTGTCCAAAATCATCAAAATCGGAGTTAATATAACCGTTAAATCGTGATTTTTCGTTTATAGCCTTAATCTCTGCATGTTTGTTTTTTGTGATTTTTGGCGTATGGGATCTCCAAGTATATACAAACATGTTTGACGGTTGGATCATTGAAACGAATTTCGGATAATGTGTTTCCTATCAAATTCAATGGTATATGTATTTACTAAGTAGATTTTAATTTATTTATTTTGTACTTATAAGCAAAACGGTAAAAAAAAAAAAAAAAAAGGGACTTTGCGCGACCTAGGTACTACTGTGTCGCGCAAAACAGGGTTGCGCGACGTAGTTGTACCTACGTCGCGCAAAGTCCCCTATTTTTTTATTTTTTGGTCTTTTTTTTTCTTTTGGGGTTCTTGCATTGCCTTTTTCTTTTGTGGTATCCACTTGTGTAAATGTTTTAAATTGAAAATCGAATTAGTTCATTGTATTCATATAGGGTTAAACAGTGTAGCTGTAAAAAATCATCAAAATCGGAGTTAATATAACCGTCAAATCGTAATTTTTCGTTTATAGCCGTCGAAAAGGTATGTTCCGTTGTTTTATCTCTACACGTTTGTTTCGTTACAATTTTTGGCGTATGCGATCTCAAAGCATATACAAACAAGTTTGACGGTTGGATCGTTGAAACTAATTTTCTACAGTGCGTATCCCATCAAAACATTAGATTCACTAACACTTGTAGTTTATTTATATTTTCATTAAGTATAACATAATATTTTGTGGTATCAACTTTTGTAAATATTTTAAATTGAAAATCGAACGCGTTTGTTGTATTCATGTAGGGTCAATGAGTGTAGTTGTCAAAAATCATCAAAATCGGAGTTAATATAACCGTTAAATCGTGATTTTTCGTTTATAGCCGTCGAAAAGGTTTGTCCCATTTCTTAATCTCTGCATGTTTGTTTTTTGTGATTTTTGGCGTATGTGATCTCCAAGTATATACAAACAAGTTTGACGGTTGGATCATTGAAACTAATTTCGGATAATGTGTTTCCTATCAAATTCAATGGTATATGTATTTACTAAGTAGATTTTAATATATTTATTTTGTACTTATAAGCAAAACGGGTAAAAAAAAAAAAAAAAAAAAGGGACTTTGCGCGACCTAGGTACAACTGCGTCGCGCAAAACAGGCTTGCGCGACGTAGTTGTACCTACGTCGCGCAAAGTCCCCTATTTTTTTATTTTTTGGTCTTTTTCTTTTATTTTGGGGTTCTTGCATTGCCTTTTTCTTTTGTGGTATCCACTTGTGTAAATGTTTTAAATTGAAAATCGAATTAGTTCATTGTATTCATATAGGGTTAAACAGTGTAGTGGTAAAAAATCATCAAAATCGGAGTTAATATAACCGTTAAATCGTAATTTTTCGTTTATAGCCGTCGAAAAGGTTTGTCCCGTTGTTTTATCTCTACACGTTTGTTTTTTACAATTTTTGGCGTATGCGATCTCAAAGCATATACAAACAAGTTTGACGGTTGGATCGTTGAAACTAGTTTTGTACAATGCGTATCCCGTCAAAACATTAGATTCACTAACACTTAGAATTTATTTAAACTTTCATTAAGTATAACATAATATTTTGTGGCATCCACTTGTGTAAATATTTTAAATGGACGATTGAATCAGTTTGTTGTATTCATATAGGGTCAATGAGTGTAGCTGTAAAAAATCAACAAAATTGGAGTTAATATAACCGTTAAATCATGATTTTTCGTTTATAGCCGTCGAAAAGGTTTGTCCCGTTATTTGATCTCTACACGTTTTGTTTCTGCGATTTTTGGCGTATGCGATCTCGATGCATATACAAACAAGTTTGACGGTTGGATCGTTGAAACTAATTTTGTACAGTGCGTATCCCATCAAAACATTAGATTCACTAACACTTGGAGTTTATTTATATTTTCGTTAAGTATAACATAATTTTTTGTGGTATCCACTTTTGTAAATATTTTAAATTGAAAATCGAACGAGTTTGTTGTATTCATGTCGGGTCAATGAGTGTAGTTGTCAAAAATCATCAAAATCGGAGTTAATATAACCGTTAAATCGTGATTTTTCGTTTATAGCCGTCGAAAAGGTTTGTCGCATTACTTAATCTCTGCATGTTTGTTTTTTGTGATTTTTGGCGTATGGGATCTCCAAGTATATACAAACAAGTTTGACGGTTGGATCATTGAAACTAATTTCGGATAATGTGTTTCCTATCGAATTCAATGGTATATGTATTTACTAAGTAGATTTTAATATATTTATTTTGTACTTATAAGCAAAACGGGTAAAAAAAAAAAAAAAAAAAGGAACTTTGCACGACCTAGGTACTACTGCGTCGCGCAAAACAGGCTTGCGCGACATAGTTGTACCTACGTCGCGCAAAGTCCCCTATTTTTTTATTTTTTGGTCTTTTTCTTTTCTTTTGGGGTTCTTGAATTGCCTTTTTCTTTTGTGGTATCCACTTGTGTAAATGTTTTAAATTGAAAATCGAATTAGTTCATTGTATTCATATAGGGTTAAACAGTGTAGCTGTAAAAAATCATCAAAATCGGAGTTAATATAACCGTTAAATCGTAATTTTTCGTTTATAGCCGTCGAAAAGGTTTGTCCCGTTGTTTTATCTCTACACGTTTGTTTTTTACAATTTTTGGCGTATGTGATCTCAAAGCATATACAAACAAGTTTGACGGTTGGATCGTTGAAACTAGTTTTGTACAATGCGTATCCCGTCAAAACATTAGATTCACTAACACTTGGAATTTATTTAAACTTTCATTAAGTATAACATAATATTTTGTGGCATCCACTTGTGTAAATATTTTAAATGGACGATGGAATCAGTTTGTTGTATGCATATAGGGTCAATGAGTGTAGCTGTAAAAAATCAACAAAATTGGAGTTAATATAACCGTTAAATCATGATTTTTCGTTTATAGCCGTCGAAAAGGTTTGTCCCGTTATTTGATCTCTACACGTTTTTTTTTTGCGATTTTTGGCGTATGCGATCTCAATGCATATACAAACAAGTTTGACGGTTGGATCGTTGAAACTAATTTTGTACAGTGCGTATCCCATCAAAACATTAGATTCACTAACACTTGGAGTTTATTTATATTTTCATTAAGTATAACATAATATTTTGTGGTGTCCACTTTTGTAAATATTTTAAATTGAAAATCGAACGAGTTTGTTGTATTCATGTAGGGTCAATGAGTGTAGTTGTCAAAAATCATCAAAATCGGAGTTAATATAACCGTTAAATCGTGATTTTTCGTTTATAGCCGTCGAAAAGGTTTGTCGCATTACTTAATCTCTGCATGTTTGTTTTTGTGATTTTTGGCGTATGGGATCTCCAAGTATATACAAACAAGTTTGACGGTTGGATCATTGAAACTAATTTCGGATAATGTGTTTCCTACCAAATTCAATGGTATATGTATTTACTAAGTAGATTTTAATATATTTATTTTGTACTTATAAGCAAAATGGGTAAAAAAAAAAAAAAAAAAAAAAAAAAGGAACTTTGCGCGACGTAGGTACTATTGCGTCGCGCAAAACAGGCTTGCGCGACGTAGTTGTACCTATGTCGCGCAAAGTCCCCTATTTTTTTATTTTTTGGTCTTTTTCTTTTCTTTTGGGGTTCTTGCATTGCCTTTTTCTTTTGTGGTATCCACTTGTGTAAATGTTTTAAATTGAAAATCGAATTAGTTCATTGTATTCATATAGGGTTAAATAGTGTAGCTGTAAAAAATCATCAAAATCGGAGTTAATATAATCGTTAAATCTTAATTTTTCGTTTATAGCCGTCGAAAAGGTTTGTCCCGTTGTTTTATCTCTACACGTTTGTTTTTTACAATTTTTGGCGTATGCGATCTCAAAGCATATACAAACAAGTTTGACGGTTGGATCGTTGAAAGTAGTTTTGTACAATGCGTATCCTGTCAAAACATTAGATTCACTAACACTTGGAGTTTATTTAAACTTTCATTAAGTATAACATAATATTTTGTGGCATCCACTTGTGTAAATATTTTAAATGGACGATTGAATCAGTTTGTTGTATTCATATAGGGTCAATGAGTGTAGCTGTAAAAAATCAACAAAATTGGAGTTAATATAACCGTTAAATCATGATTTTTCGTTTATAGCCGTCGAAAAGGTTTGTCCCGTTATTTGATCTCTACACGTTTTTTTTTTGCGATTTTTGGCGTATGCGATCTCAATGCATATACAAACAAGTTTGACGGTTGGATCGTTGAAACTAATTTTGTACAGTGCGTATCCCATCAAAACATTAGATTTACTAACACTTGGAGTTTATTTATATTTTCATTAAGTATAACATAATATTTTGTGGTATCCACTTTTGTAAATATTTTAAATTGAAAATCGAACGAGTTTGTTGTATTCATGTAGGCTCAATGAGTGTAGTTGTCAAAAATCATCAAAATCGGAGTTAATATAACCGTTAAATCGTGATTTTTCGTTTATAGCCGTCGAAAAGGTTTGTCGCATTACTTAATCTCTGCATGTTTGTTTTTTGTGATTTTTGGCGTATGGGATCTCCAAGTATATACAAACATGTTTGACGGTTGGATCATTGAAACTAATTTCGGATAATGTGTTTCCTATCAAATTCAATGGTATATGTATTTACTAAGTATATTTTAATTTATTTATTTTGTACTTATAAGCAAAACGGGTAAAAAAAAAAAAAAAAGTGACTTTGCGCGACCTAGGTTTAAGTGCGTCACGCAAACCTGTTTTGCGCGACGTAGGTATGCGTCGCTCAAGATTTGGCTCCATACCGCTTTTTTCCAACTTTGCGCGACGCAGGTTCACTACGTCGCGCAAAGTCAACACGAAATGTCCCTTTTTGTGTTTCTTTCCAGTGTTCTAACCCTAGTCAACACGAAAATGTTTTACCGCTGTCTTCCTCACCTGCAGACCTCCATTCCTCACCTGCAGACCTCCATTCCTCACCTGAAGACCTCCATAGCCACCTGATCACACTCAGGTGATTTAAAAACATCTATGTTATTCATCCATTTTTTTTTATATATATGATTGTATTGAAATTTTTGTTAATATTACCAAATATATTGAAAATTTTGATCTTTTTTGTTCTTATCATGCATATATGATTGAGGGTAAATACTCAGCTTGGTAAATTCCCAATATATTGAAAATTTTGATCTCCTATTGATGATGGCAGTGTAGCACAAAGGGACTCCTTCTCTAACGTGAGGGTAAACACTCAGTTTAGTGATCCCCCTGTTGTTGCAGCTGCACTAGAAAACTCTAACGTATTATCTGAAGGCCAAATTAATGACTCTATCCTGAGAATTGAGAGGAAACGCAAGGTATACTTGTTCAGTTAACTTCAGTATAGTATATTTTGTCAACCAAGGACTTAACTAGTTGCATCTTGTAGGTGAAGAAGCGAGAATCGCTAAAGAAGTTGAAGCTCATGAGTTGCAGATCCGCAAGGAGCTGGAGAAACAAGAAATTCTGAGGAGAAAGGTTCTATTTTTAAGTCCTAAACAATTTTTTCTGAAGCATATATAGCAATTAATATGCTGATATTTTGATTTTTCTGTTTATAAAACAAGGAAATGGAAAAACGTGAGAGATGAAAAGAAAAGAGAGGTTGATGCGTGAGAGGCAACGCAAGGAAGAGAGATTAAAACGTGAGCAAAAACGTGAAATTGAACGAAGGGAAAACTTTTCATTTTATAGCCTAATACAAGCATACATGTCTTGTGCGAATCTACCAACAATGGAAATTAAAATGACGTTTACTTCAAATCATCATAAATTAAATTCATTTGAAAAAGTCTGGTAAATTAAGGTGATTGCAAATAATGGGCTCTTTTGAGTTTGCGTAACTGAATTAAACAAAAAACAATAGCATGACATACTTAAGGCCCTAGAACACATAATGCACAGAAACAAATAAAACTAAGCAACCACTAAACAGCTAAAAGCTTATTCTCAAAAGGCACAAATAATGGATATAAACATTATACGACTTACTTAAGCACTCTAAATCTACCCAGTCATAGCCTATGCGGGATTTAAGGGTTTCAAAGTTTCTCGTCCTTTAGGCGTTCGCATCTTCACCAACAAGAAAATCACACATATGACAGATATTAGTGTCCCACAAGAAAATCTGCCTGTCGAATACCATTACATGAACAAACAATCTGAATTAAACGAAATGATCACTGGACTACTGATAAATCAAAACTGACATTATAAAATAGCTGTCTAGTTCGATATATGAAACAAGAATGGTCGACAAACAGGACACTCTTTCGAAATTTATGAACAATCCCTTCATCTTTACAGTTTATAGCATATCATATCATGCCCTCTATGAAGATTTACGGAATCTATTAATGGTGCAAAGGAGCTTTTAATCCTCATGGATAGGAAATTTTTTAAATTACCATAAAAAAATAAAAGCAAAAGCAATATTTTAAGGAAGATTGTAAAGATCTAAAATTTCGGTCAAGAGTTTGGTTTTCATTTTAACCTATTTTATATAGCTATATTATTTCCCCTGATCACATATGAACACCAATTTTTGAGCAACTAACTTCAGATTCCTTATACTTGTTATTGTGTACTTTTGCATGCGTGCTATGCCCTTTTTTGGTCATGTTAGAGTTTTTTGGGATTGAATTTGTAATTGATCTTTATTAATTTTATCTATTTTATTTGGCTTTAGTAATTATTGGGATTTAATTTATTTGTATGCATAAATTTTTGTACGCCACTTACAAAATTGTTTTGTGTTGTACGAAATTAATACTACTTAATTTCGTACACTTTTGTCAAGAAAAGCTTAGTTTCCCATTTGATAATTAGTTGGATTTCGTGTATGGATGCAAAAGCATGACTGCGGTCCAATTAATTCTTGAATTGTCCCATTTTATGGACAGTTTGGTAATGCATAGTTATGTGTTGTAGTGTGCGGTTCACGGATTAGGTTTCGATAGTGGAAATTTTGGTAACATTTCCTATTGTTCTTCGAGTACACGGTGGATATTATGTATCTACGGCGTGCACTTGAAGAACTGTAAGGAGATGCTGCCGAAATTAGCCCACGTCGAAATTTAATCCATTGGAATCGTAAATTACGGCACATAAGTATGCATTCCTAAATGGGATAGGGCCCTTACCGGAGGAATAAGGTGACAATACAGCAGTTGAAGTTGTTGTAACTCTTGTACTTTTATTGGGATTGCAGACAAAATGGACAGACAGTGGATACATAATCATAATAGATGTGATGTTGAGTACTTGGATGGAATAGAAGAGTTCACTAAATTCGCAATTAGACACAGCCGAGGTTCAACTCATATCCGATGTCCGTGTAGGAGGTGTAACAACTCAATGTGGGAGACATTCGAAAATGTTCGATTTCATTTAGTAAGAAATGGGATGATGGAGACCTATACTACTTGGTATCATCATGGAGAACGATTAGACCAAGCTTCGTCTTCATATGTGACACGAGTGGAGACTGTTGAATCTAATGTGGATCCTAGTGAACAAGTTATGAATATTGTAAATGATGTTTATCCATATGCCTCGAGCAACACCAATCAGGAAGGGGGAGATGAAGACCGTCCAACCATGGACAGTGAGGCATTTAAAAACTATGAAAAACTATTGAAAAATGCCAAGCAAGAATTATATCCAGGTTGCGAGAACTTTTCGGTGCTCACAGCAATTGTGGAGTTGATGCATGGCAAGATCAAGTTTCGTTTGTCAAACAAGTGTTTTGATTACTTTTTGGGAGTTATCAAGAGGATGCTGCCAAAGGAGAATTGTTTACCTGAAGATCATAAAAGTGCCCAAAAAATGTTGAAGGGTCTCGGAATGGGGTATGAAAAAATTCACGCATGCGTAAATAATTGTATATTGTTTTATAAGGAGAACAAACAGTTGGATAAATGCCCTATCTGCAATGAGCCGAGGTTTAAAATGACATCACAGAATAGAAAGACCAAGATTCCACAAAAAGTAATGCGTTATCTTCCATTGAAGCCTAGGTTGCAACGATTGTACATGTCGATGCATACGGCTACTGACATGAGATGGCATAAAGAAGGACGGGTAAATGACGATGTTATGAGGCATCCTGCAGATGGAGAGGCATGGAAAGAATTCGATCGGATGTACCCTGATTTTGCAGCTGACCCGCGCAACGTCAGATTGGGACTTGCCACCGATGGATTTAATCCGTTTGGGGTTTTAAACCAAATCCACAGCACTTGGCCGGTCGTCGTGTTTCCTTATAATCTACCGCCTTGGAAGTGCATGAAAAAAGAATACATGATGTTGACTCTATTAATTAGCGAAGATCCAGGAAAGTCCATTGATGTTTATTTGCGGCCGTTGGTTGATGAGCTAAAAGATTTATGGGAAAACGGTGTTCGTACATACGATAAGTATACTAGGCAGATGTTCACCATGCGAGCGGCAGTTATGTGGACAGTAAACGATTTTCCAGCGTATGCAATGGTTTCTGGGTGGATGACTAAGGGTTATTTGGCATGTCCAATATGCAAGGAGAATGTAACATCGTCTTGGCATGCGAGAAAAGTTTGTTATCTTGGTCATCGTAGATGGCTCCCTTGGGACAACGAGTGGCGTCAGAATGATAAAGCCTTCCACGGCACAAAAGAGACTCGGTTAAGACCAAGAGAATGGTCTGGAGATGAGATTTTGGATCAGTTAAATCGTTTGGAATTTGTTAATTTCGGCAAAGGGGTCAATAAGCCCAGACCAAGTACACATTTGAACTGGACGCACAAGAGTATGTTATTTGAGCTCCCGTACTGGTCAAAGTTAAAATTGAGACACAACCTAGATGTTATGCATATTGAGAAAAATGTGTTTGATACTTTGGTGGGGACAATTCTAGACATTGAAGGAAAAACAAAAGACACACTCGAAGCTCGCCTCGATTTGGAACGAATGGGCATTAGGTCATCCTTGTGGATGCAGAGAGTCGGTGGTACATTGAAGAAATGCCATCCTTTTTTTACAGTTAAGCCGAATGGGAAGAAAGAGTTTTTCAACTTTATTTCTTCTGTAAAGTTTCCGGATGGGTATGCTTCCAATATCTCGCGTTGCGTGAACGTGAGGGGTTGTAAATTTTCAAATATGAAGAGTCATGACTGTCATGTGATACTCCAACGCCTTCTTCCGGTTGGTATTCGACACTTATTGCCTCTTGATGTGGTGAAACCAATCGTGTTGTTGTCGAGATTTTTTTCGCAGTTGACTGCAAGGTGTTTGCGGAAGTCGGATGTTAGACAATTGCAGGACGACATTGTGAATGTCTTATGCAAATTCGAACAGATATTTCCCCCAGCTTTCTTTACAAGTATGATTCACGTGATGATTCACTTGCCAGATGAGGCATTGCTTGCCGGACCAGTGAACTGTCGATGGATGTATCCAATTGAAAGGTACTTAATTAAGCTCATATATATATATATATATTCATGATCAACGAATGCTTTGAATAATTTGTAGCATACCTTTTATTTGTGCAGATATCTTGGTGAGTTGAAAAAGTGTGTTCGAAACAGGGCAAAGCCCGAAGGATCACTGGTGGAGGCATGGGTCGCATATGAGTCACTTACTTTTTGTGCAATGTATCTTCAAGATGTTGAGACAACTTTCAATCGTCCTCAACGCAATAATGACGGTGGTGTCAGAAAAGAGAAACTGTCTGTTTTTGCCCAAATTGCGCGACCATTTGGCGATCCTGTTAAAGGCGAATCATTTACCAAAAATGACATGGAGGTAGCGCATTGGTTCATACTCAACAATTGTGACGAGGCTTTGCCATACCTTGAAGAGCATGAACGGTTGATGAAGCGGGAATATCCTTCACATTTATATGCCAAGAAGCACCGTGACTTATTTCCTTCGTGGTTTTACACACATGTAAGTTGTATGTGGTTTGAGTTGAGCATATTTTCCAAATTGTTCATGCCTGTCTTTAAATTTGGTTACACTAACAAGTTAACTTTTTGTATATGTTATATTAGATTAACAAATTGAAGGAATTGAATTCACCCTCTTACGATGAAGAATTATATAACTTGGCGAGAGGACCACTTCACGTTGAATTGTTCTCGGGTTGTCATGTCAACGGGATCAAGTTCTTGGGGGCAACACGTGATGACAAGTTGTCTACTCAAAATAGTGGTGTCCATGTCCCGAGTGCGGGCGACAGTGAAGACATTGATTTTTATGGAAAACTAACTAGTGTAGTACAATTGCTTTACAAAAATAGGTGTCAAGTGATACTGTTTAAGTGTCTTTGGTTTGATACAAACCCACATAACCGAACAAGTGTTAAGCGAGATCATGGTTTACTATCAGTAAACACTACGAGACATTGGTACGATGAAGACCCTTACATTTTGGCAACTATGGCGAAACAAATATTCTATCTAGACGACCCTAAAGCCGGCAATGGTTGGAAAGTTATTCAGAAGATTGATCGAAGAAGGCTATATGATATTCCGGAACTAGATCATGATGACAACGACGACAACGTCACTGACCAACAGTTATCATCTTCGATAGAAATTGGTGAAGAAACACTCCGGGATACTAATATTGTCCAAGAACCGTTTGACGTACATGGAGTTCCCGAATTCGAAATATCAATTGACCTTGGTGATCTGCCTCAATACAATGCACCGGAAGAGGCAAACGAAGATGAGGATGAATGGGAATCCGGAAATGATAGTAGTGAGGATAGCGAGAGTTATTATTGTAGTTCGGATGAGGATTAATTTAAACTTGTAAAGGAAAAAGCAGGAGGCTAAAGGTTTAACATCGCTTCTCATCTACCACACTATTATTCCCAACAAATCATCTGATCGTCTCCGTTCTATAAAGATAAAGATATCATGTAAGTTGTATGTTTTATGTTAGCTTTCTTTTTGTTTTACTCTTAGTTGCATTTGATAATTGCATTATTTTGATGCTGAAATTTCAAAAAAACTGTGAATATATTCCACTTGTGTAAGTATATGCTTTGGATAAATTTGAAGGGCAAGATTTCTTTGAAACTAGTTCTATGTTGATATACTCTTGGGAAAGTACTTAATTAGAAGTTCTAGCTAAAGGGAAGACATCTGATGTTTTGGCGAAGTTGTATCTGACTGTCAGCAGGAGATGCTTTTTCTTAATGAAAATGCCGCTATTAATGTAGAAGATCAATAGCCTATATTCTAGGCGTTGCTTTTCTTCTTATTGTCTTTTAAGGTTTCTCGTCATTTCATTTCCCTTATATGTCTTTGGCTTCTTTCCTTTCCTTTTGCCCAGTTTTCCGCTTTTGAGCCTTTTATCCAATAACTTTCGCGTATTTTTTTTTTCTGCCTCAAAAATCATATTTTGTTTAAAGTTGAATTTTGTTGCTTGACAAATTGGCTAATTGGTAGCTAGAGGCAAAGTACACCACGTATTATGACAAATTTTCAATTGCATGATTGATTTTTTTTTTTTCTTCTTACATCAGGTTGTCATTGTTGCATTTTTGACATGGCTTGGATGGTTCAACCCTGGAGAATTTGGTCTTTTTCTGGAAAACTTGATACGAAAAGGTATGGATAAATTTCAGCTGGCATTACAATTCAGTATCGCAGTATTAGTGGTTGCTTGCCTTTTTGCCATGGGACTAGCAACCCCTACGCTACGGTAGCAATGGTTGCAACAGGGAAGGGTGCTTGGCAAGGTGTTCTTATCATGGATGGAAATGCACTCAAAAAGGCTCATAAGGTAAGACCACCTTATCCTGGGAAACAAATTGCTTTTCAATTCAGAATATGGGTTTTCAACTTTTCATGCTTTTTATTTTCATGTTTTTTTGCTGGTGTAATCTGTTATCCTTTAGTGGGACAAAATTTTAAATTTTTTTAGGATGAAGATAATGCCTTTCTTTGCAGATTTGTATTTCCTTAATAGGCCTGGCACTATCTTTTGTGTCCAGGCTTCCATTTTTAAGCATATTTTTGTTCAATCAAAGTGAAATATTGATAGTAGTTGCCACCCTATGGTTAACTTTTTTCCCTCCCTTTTTCCCTATTATAGGTAAAGGGACAGCCATCAACAATGCCAACAGTGGGACCTTGGCGGAAGGTAAACTTCATATTTTCTCCTATATTTTCTAGTTGTGAGTAAAGCTTTGTTTTGGAAACCAAGTTGCTAAAATCTCTTTTATGCTCTTTCAATTTTGTTTTCCTTTAAATAAAGCATTTTTGTCGCATGTCCAATTGCGTCCCCTGGTCCCCCTGCCAGCACGTGTAAAAGCATTATGTGAAGGGAATTGGTTTAGTACTCTTTGCTAATCTGTGTTGCATCAGTACGAAAGCTTATATGATTTGCTTGTTTGGCGTTGCAGATGGTAACATCAAAAGATACCAATTTCATTGGATACACTTTTAAGAAATCCGATGTCCTTAAATCGCTTAAAAGTTCAGGTCTGCTTCTGGCATGAGAAAATGGATCATTTTTAATATGGATTTCATTATACTTGTTCCTACTTACTTTTCCTTCCGAGGACGTCGAAAACCTGTTTTGTTTTGGTATTAGGAAAAGACAATTACTGATTAGATACTATCCATATGTCTGAGGGTGCAAGTGTAGTCCGTTTTCTCGTCTTTCCTTTGTTATGAAGTTGCTCTCCTCGTATTGGTCTGGTCATTTTGTATTATGACCTATGCTACCAACATAGTTTATGTTGATGTTCCGTAATATAACAAGTTATGCACTTCATTTCTGACCAGTGAAACGCTTTGCCTCCGTTCTGTCAACGTTTAGGCTCTTGACATAAAACTAAATGCAATCTATGTCATTGGGTATGAAGGGCACCCTGAAAATTCATCGCACATATTAATCAACCATTTTGCAGGAAAAATATTTAATCAAACACAAAAACTCTTATTTTCTCTCGTTTCTTTTGTGTTTTTATGAGGAAATATTAGTTGAATAATGATCACCTTTTGTTAGGGCCTAAGCCCCTGCTCCCAACGACAAGCGAATCAAGCTTGAGATCTTGCACTGCATCACACAACTTCTCTCTTGGATCCCCCAAGAGAAAAGCAAATCGAGTGCTTTTGAAGCAACAAATCCACAATTCAAGCTGGGTAAAACAATTTGAACCATTTAAAGTAAATATTCAATCAAAGCAACTGATGCCTAGATAAAATCGATGCAAATTCAAAACTCGAAACAAATTAAACTAATTAAACAACATGCACAAACTTAAACGATCCCACATAACTCATAATGCGCCAAAAAAAATGCTGATTGACCCTAAATTCTAATTCAAATTATAACACTTACGAAATTGAAAAATATATATGTAAAAAAAATTTATTGTGGGTTTTTATTAGAAAAATGTATTATTGTGGGGTTTATGTAAAAAAATTTTGAATTTGAAAAAAGTAAAGTCATATTTTCAGTAATTTTTATAATAATTGGAAAAAAAAATTACCTTGCGCGACGCCTTAACATGACCGTTGCGCAAAAGCACTTTGCGCGACGTCAAATTGTATACCTACGTCGCGCAAGCTTTGATAATTTTGGCGGTCCAATGGTGAAAAATAGGCGCATTTTTTAAATTTTCCTAAATGTGTACCTCTTCCCTCTTTCCCTCTTTCCCTCTTTCCCATATAATTAATAGACCACTTAATTTCCCTATTTCCCTCCTTCCCGTAAAAAATCAGTTTCCCTGTTTCCCATAAAAACCCCAGTTTCCTGGCCTGTTTCCCTCCTTCCTGTAAAACCCCACATAATTTCCCTGTTTCCTTGTAACTAGGTTTTCCCTCTTTCCCTCTTTATTTCCCTCTTTCCCTCCCGTATAAACCTCTTTCCCTCTTCCCTTTTTCCCTCTTTCTTTCCCTCTTTCCCTCCCGTATAAACCTCTTTCCTTCTTCCCTTTTCCCCTTTTTCTTTCCCTCTTTCCCTCTTTCCCTCTTTCCCATATATTGAATCCGAATTTGATTTTTTAAGACTCATCTTTCTCCCTCTCGTTCGCAAGGCAGCGACGCCAAAACTCGAAGCTGACGCAAATTAAGTCCCAAAATCAAGGTGAGGGTTTTTGATTTTCGATGGGTTTTTGTTATTTAGGGTTTAGGCTCAAATTGCATGTTGGGTTTTTGTCAAATTGGTTTTTTGGTGACAAACCAATTGATGTGTCCTTTAAACTGCTGCTTTTGCTCCAAATCTATAAACCAATATGTATTGAAATGAGCTTTTTTTATTTTTCAAATGTGCTGACTTGATTTTCCGTCGACTAGAAACTGCTGTGCTGACCAATGACTACTAATTAGAAAGTGCTTTTGGGTTAAATTTCAAAAGACATGGGACACCTGACATGATAAACGGCATTTGAGCATTGTTGAAATGAATATGCAGTATTCTAATGTTTTTAGTCCAATGGGTTTTTATCAATTTCCCCTGTTAGTTGGTTGGATGATGGATTACAAAATGTTTGGCACTGCAATTTGGAATTTCCATTTCTTGTTCTGTTTTAATTTTTATAATAGTTTGATTAGTTTAACCATATCAGTAATTTAAGTTCTGCTTTTTAAATGGGTTAATGGGTTTCTTACTTTGCTTGATATCAAAATTCTTAACTACATAACTAGAACACCGAAAGTAAGACTTGAATTTGATTCTTCATCCCTTGTACCGAAAAATGACTTAAATTTTACCTTTTTCTGTAGATTAATGTCATCTGTAATAAGTTAAACTTATGTGCTTTAGCTTTTCGTTCTGATTCTTCATATTGGCGAAGATATTATTTCTTCTTTGTTGTCATCCTCTTTTTGTATTACCTTTTTCCTTGAAATAAAATGAAGTATCAACTCTAGGACAAGTAAAAGTTGGCCCTTGGCAGTGATATCTCTGGACAGTAGCTGACAAGAAATGAATCACCAAACATTGGCAAATTGCAAATGAATAATATCAACCATACAACAGACACATTTATTTTGTGTATCTAATTGTTGATCCACACACATATACACAAGTACATACAATAATTTTTTGTGATCAGGTTTGTTCATAAGGTTGTTGCATATAATTTGTTACTTGCTCAATCTAAATATACATTGCATGTACTTGTTTTGAAATTAAGAGTGTTGGTAACCTACTTATTACTTTGGATGCTAACTGATTAGTTTCTAATGTTATAATTTTATGATTCAAAAAGTGTATAGATGTCGCATTTGATCACTCGTCGTTGGAGCGTGACCAATGCGCCTCCCACATTATTAGCATCTACTGCTCCAGGCGTGAGTGCTCCATTGAATGGGGAGCCTACACCCCTTACTGAGGCTACTCCTATGGTGTCCCAAGTGCCTGTCTCATCGACGTCATCAGTATCCATTAAGCTTTGGGTTTTCACCATTTAAGTATTTTTGGCCAGCTAAAAAAAAAAACTAGGGGGCCTAGTCGAATGCTGAAGCCGGCACAGAGTGTACGTCTGACTGGCTCCAAGATCAAGATTGAGTATGACCCACTACATCGTGGAGCGGCTACAGCGCAACAACATAGCATTGTCGTTAGTAGCTGTGGTGTTGTTATTAAACAAAATTGTCCTATGCAGTGGGAGAAGTGGGCAGAAATTCCAGATTCGACGAAGGATTTGGTGCGAGACCAGTTGTCGGTTAGTATATTAATTTTTAACCTTTAACTACTTGGTTCTGCATAAAAATATTGTTCTTCTTGATGTTCTGTATATTCATTTTGACTCACTGGATTACTTAGGTATGTATCGAATCTAGTAATGAAATTAAATCATCCAACTCTTTTATCTGGTTATTTAATTCATTTTGATCTATTTCATCAATTTTTGAAATTAACTCTTCTGTTTCTTTTTCAAATTCATAAGCTAATCTTATCGATTCTTGTTTATTATAATCTTGTACTTTGTGCCATGTCTGAGTTGCTTGTTCATGAATGTCATTGGGTTCATAAATTATTTTTCCGATTCTTGCATTCTTTTCTTCATCTAAATAAACAAATTCGGATTCAATATCATTTTTTTAGTTTTGTTTACAAATATTAAAAACCAAAATATATTATCTTAATATTATTATATTTCTTACTATTATTTTATTGTTTTTCATATTCGTAGGTAATTTTTGATCTTGATGATGTATCCCCCGAGGTGAAGGCCTACTTAGATGAGACCTTAGCAATCCGGTACAAACATTGGAAGAACCATCTTCACACGCATTTTAAGCTATGGGATACTCCGGAGATTGCTCGCCTACATGGTTGCCCAAGCGAGTTGAAGGACCGGCCAGAGGATTGGGAATGGCTTTGCAAGCATTTTACGGACCCAAAATTTGTGGTATGTACATAATATTTGAATAATAATTTATTATTGTTTTAGTTATTTTTAAAGCTTTTTTTATTAATTTATTTCAAATAGTCGCATTAACATGTATATTGTGTGTTTAACAGAAGAAATCTGTTGCTGGCAAGATAGCTCGGGAGTCAAAGACACTTCTCCACCATTCCGGTTCGAAGCCCTTTTCATATAGGCTTCAGACACGACGTCAGGTACAAGTATATTAATTTAGAAATTTTATACAATTTATTTATTATTATTGATTAATAAAATTTTCTTAATGTTTTTTTTCTTTCTTCAGGAGGGTTCTAAGTTCCCAAAGATCGACATGTTCGAGGACGTTTACGTTCGACCTGGAGATGAGACTGCTGGGCAGCTTCATGTAAGTATATGTAATTGTTATTATTCTTATATGTATGAATCGTTCAAATATTATTTATATATATGTTTTTTCTTTATTATTACAGGCTCTTATGGTGGAAAAGAGCACTACTGTTCTCCAAGAAGCAACATCGCAGCTTCCCCCGGAGACCCCAATTGAGGACGTCACAGTACCTGAGGATGCAGGTTTTCAGATCCTGACTGATGTCCTGGATCAGAACTTCGGTCGTCGTCACGGCAAGGTTGTTCGGTGCATGGGGAAAGCACGACTTCGTGAGACTGGTGCCTCTTCTTCTAGATCAAACAACACAGAGGTCGATTCATTGAAGGAGGAAGTGATAACCCTAAAAGGTCAGCTTGAGGTCCAGGGCGAGCAGATGAAGGAGCAGATAAGGGCCCAGGGCGAGCAGTTGCATACTTATGCCGGACATATGAGAGATCTTATACGAGCCATACAGATGACCAGCCTCTAAATCTCGCTACCAATACCTGATCTTGCTACACCTTCAACCTCCGAGCCACTTCACCCTGCCGATACCCAGTAGCCACTTCACCTAGAAGATTACTTGTAGTTTTTTCTTTTTTTATTCGGATATCTTGTATGTACATTTTCATATATTGTATAATTAAATACTTTTCTTTGGTTAATTAATTATTATTTAGAATTTAATTACAATATTATTAAAAATTAAGAAAGTAATATTTTTTACCAAAACCAAAAATCCACTTTGCGCGACATACAATACGTCGTGCAAAGCATGTTCCCAAGTTGTGCAAAGTATCTTTGCGTGACGTAGACTGCGTCGCGCAAAGTATCTTTGCGCAACTTGGGAACATGCGTTGCGCAAAGACACTTTGCGCACCCATAGTCTACGTCGCGCAAAATAAGTCGCGCAAATGTCTTGCGCGACGAAGGGGTTACATGCGTCGCGCAAGGATCTTGCATGACGTACGTTGAGTCGCGCAAAATACGTCGCGGAAAGTAGCTTTGCGCGACGAATGGTTTGCATGCGTCGCTCAAAAAGACTTGTGCGACGTATG